GCATAGACTGAAAGTGAAGGGCTAAGGGTCAGCAGGTTGCATGGTGGTTAAGGCACTGGACTCCCACATGACTTCCGTTTGAATCCCGGACCTGGTGACTTGCTTTCTCACTTTCTATCTCCCTCTCTCACGTGCACCATGCCCTATACCAAAAAATAAAACTAAATTTAAAAAATAAATAAATAATTCTTTTTTGTCTCTTTTTTTTTTTTTTTTTTTTTTGGAGAGATTTTCACTGTAGGGCGCGTGCGCTCGCCAGACAGACAGAGAGAGACATAGAGACAGAAAGCGAGAAATCACCCCCCAGGGGGGATGGTCACGCCGCAATCCCTTCTCCTCCATTCTCCTCTCGGGATCTTGGGCACGCACGCACACGCACCCGGCGTGAGTTTTAAGCCACCGGGTCCGGGACACGAACCGCGGTCGACTACGTGGGAGTCCAGCGACATAGCCATTACGCTAACTGCTGGTTCCCATTCTTTTTTGTCTCTTAAAGAGAGATTTTTTCTGTAGGGTCCTTACCAGAGAGACAAAAAGTGAGAAATCGCCCCCTAGAAGTGATGATCATGCTACAATCCCTTCTCCTCCTTTCTCTTCTCAGGATTTTGAGCATACATGAACATGTGAGTTTTAAGCCTCCAAGTCCAGGACTCAAACCAAGGCTGACTACATGGGAGTCCAGTGACATGACCATTATTGCCATCTGCTGGTCCCAATAATTCTCTTTTAAAAGAGTGAAGGTCTGGATAATGTGATTTTATGCAAACAGAAACCATAAAAAGGCTGGATTCACTATACTGATATCATACAAAATAGACTTCAAGACTAAAAGTATAAAAAGAGACAAGGATACTATGTAGTATTAAAAGGACTTATTTTTCAAGAAGATATACTTATCAATGCATCCAACACCAGGCTACCAAAATACATAAAAGAAAGACAACTAGATATAAAGAGAAAGACAGCAGCACGCTAATTGTGGGGACTTTAACACCCATTGTCACTGAATAGATCATCTAGACAAAAATAAGCTAAATGATACCATAAGCCAAATGGATCCACAGACATTTAAAGAACACTTCACCCAACAACTACAAAATACACATTTTTCTCACCCCACATGGAAAAATGTCAAAACTGACCACATAATAGAACATGAAACAAATCTTTATATACTTAAAGTATTGAAACTGTGTCTACCATCTTTACCAATGACAATGGAAATCAACAACAGAAAGAGCCTTAGAGAATACACAATGACATGGAGACTAAACAATTTACTCCTGAAAAATTTCAAAGCTATTTTAGAAATTAAAAGATAATGAACACCCAGTGCTCCCTTTCCTTTGAGACATAGCAAAAGCAGTCCTAAGAGGGAAGTTTACAACAAATTTACTGTAATTTTCTTCTGAAATATTTTTTCTCTCTCCATTCTCCCTTTTAATAAAGAGGTATAAACTAACTTATTTGCAAAAAAAAAAAAGTAGATTAATCTCTATTTGGTCTGTTATTTGCACAAAGCCTCATAAAAATTCAATTTCTGATTCAAGGCAACAGATACTATTATATTATTGAACTTAAGCAAATAACCATTCTGCCACAAAATCATAATGCTCACAAATATTTTCCAATTGCAAAGGGGTCAGGAAGGGAGAAAACTTTCTTTCAATTAAAATTCTTTTTTTTTTTTAACAAATTGCCGAATCCAACAACTCAAAAGAAAACCAAAATTCTTAAATCTGGAAGATAAAGCATAGAAGAAAATCAGTAATGTTTTAGAAAAAAGTCATAGAAGTCTATTTTACCAGTTTAGCCTTTTGTAATCTCTATTTTGCTGAATTTGCAGTGTTACCATGATCTGACCTTTCCATTAACATTCAACATTATTACTGATATTTCAAAACTTGTCCCTACCATTAAGTTGGCCTTTTTCTTGGTTATTTTTTTGTTCTTTTACTTGCCTGTCTGTCTTTAGTTTTCCTGGTATAGAACTCACTTCAGAACTTCTCAAAGAGCTGGTCTGATGTTGGTAAATTCTTTCAGGTTTTGTTTATCTGAGAATGTTTTTACCTTGCACATGAAGGATAATCTTGCCAGATATAGTATTTTTGGTTGAAATTGTTGTTCACTTAACACTTTGAATATATTTTCCCATTCTCTCCTTGTTTCCATTGTTTCCAACAAGAGGTTCAATGTGAGCCTGATGAGTTATCTTTTGAAAGTAACTTGATGTTTTTCTCTTGCCAATTTTAGTGTCTCATCTCTGTGTTTTTTATCAATCTGGCTATGATGTGCCTTGGAGAAGATCTTCTTGGGTTGATTCTATGTGGGGCCCTTTGTATTTCTTGGGTCTAGATATTTGAATGCCTCTCTAGGTTTGCAAAGTTTTCTTCCAGGATTTCATGGGATAGATATCAATGCCCTGATTCATTTCTTCACTTTCTGGGATACTGATGATCTGGATGTTTGGGCATCTAATGGTATCTAGTATTAATTACATATTATTCTCATTTTGGGGGTTATTTTCTGTCTTTTTGGTGAGTTTTTCTAAGTCAGAGGCTCTGTCTTCTACATCTGAGATTCGATGTTCTATATGATCTAATCTGCTTTTAAAACTTTCAAGAGAGGTTTTGATTTCCTGTATTATAGCCTTCATCTCTAACAATTCTGTTTGATTCTTTTTTATGGTGTGGATTTCTTCTTTCAGATCATGGAAGAACTTCCTCACCTCCTGGATCTTGTTCTCTCTTTTCTTCTGCATTTTCTAGAGTTTGTTGTCTCTCTTCTCTTGCATCTCTGATAGCTATGTCACTATGAATATCCTAAATTCTTTATCTGACATTTCCACGAGTTCCATTGTACTGTCTGTGGATGATGAATGGCTGTTCTTACACCTTGAGAGAGAGAGATTTTCTTGATATCCCATATTTCTTGTGCCTCTGCAGTGGTGGTGGTTTCTGGTCATCTGACGGATTATACATTACTTCATACCTGGCTTTTCACTGGGTGTTAGGCTGGAAGGAGAAGTTTGGGGCAGAGGCTTTTTCCCATTAAAGGGGTATCGCTAGGCCCACCTCAGAGTCACATGGGCTCTGGCTTTTCACTGGGTGTTGGGCCGAAAGGAGACTAGGCCAGCACCTTCTTAAGGTTTAAGATTCTTCAAATATGATTGTGTCATTACAGATGGCTCTTAAACAATAAGGGTTTGAACTGCATGAATTTACTGATACATGGGGTTTTTTTCTTTTTCTCTTTTTAAAAATTATTTTACTTTACATGATTTTTTCCAGCAAATACTGGAAAATACAGTAGAATACTATAAATGTACTTTCCTTATAATTTTTATAGCATTTTCTTTAGCTTTCAGTACATAATACATAAGCACATAAGGCAATATCACATGTTTGCTTATGTGCTAACGGTACATAATACATACAACACAAAATATGTATTAATGGACTTTTATCAGTAAGACTCTGGTCAGCAGTAGGCTATTAGCAGTTACAATTTGAGGGAGTCAAAAGTTAGACACATTTTTCACTGCTGGATTCAGCACTCCTAACTCCTTTGTTGTTCAAGGGTCAGTTGTATCATTGGGCAGTAACTATAGATTAATTTAATACATATTATAATCCAGTCAATGCTGGCAGTCGATTGCATTCCTTTTTTATTATTTTAAAAAATTATTTATTTGGGAACCAGCAGTTAGTGTAATGGCTATGTCGCTGGACTCCCAGGTAGTCGACCGCGGTTCGCGTCTCGGACCCGGTGGCTTAAAACTCACGCCTGGCGTGTGTGTGTGTGTGTGTGTGTGTATGTGTGTGTGTGTGTGTGCCCAAGATCCCTAGAGGAGAATGGAGGAGAAGGGATTGCGGTGTGGCCATCCCCCTTGGGGGGTGATTTCTCGCTTTCTGTCTCTCTGTCTCTCTCTGTCTGGCGAGCACACGTGCCCTATAGCGAAAACCTCTCCCCCCCAAAAAATTATTTATTTAATTCTATTTATTATTTATTGTTATTATTTAATTTGATCAGAGAGAGAGAAAGAAATGGAAAGTGAAAAAGTAAGCCACCATGTTCGGGACTAGAACTGAAGTTGACCATGTGGGAATCTAGCGCCCCAACCACCATGCCACCTGCCAGCCCACATTCCTTTTTTATTCTAATAGTAGGAATAGAATGGAGAGCAGTAAACTTTCCAGTATTAAGGACAGAGTAAAGGATTGTTTACAGTTAGCTTCTAGGAGCACCTGCACTGGACCAGTCACAACTTGCAATTTTCATAAAATGATCAGGTTTCAAACTGACAGGATATTAGAGCTCACCAGTCCAGCTCCTTCCATTGAAATATGAGTAACTGGGGTCCGGCAAGTGGCATGGTTGTCAAAGCACTGGACTCCCACATGGCTAACCACAGTTCTAGTCCCAGACCTGGCAGCTTGCTTTCTCACTCTCTCTCTCTGGTCAAACTCGAAAAAAAAAAAAAATACTATTAGTAAGTAAAATTAAATAAATCTTTTAAAATAATATGAAGAACTGAGCTTTAGAAAGTATGCTAGTGTGCACACATCATGCTCCATATGAAATTCATGGTTAGGATAATACAGCCTAGATCTCATAGTTAGTGTCATAATTAAAATTCATTTGTACATTTATTTATACTTTCCCTTGTACCAAAGAGTATTTGAAATAGCTGAAATTAGAATCAAATTTCTCATGTCACAGGCTGTCCAAGAGAATGTTCTGTCTTGATGGGAATGTCCTCAATAGGACATATGTGTGTTGAGCACTTGAACCATATCCAGTGTAACTGAGGAACTAAGGTTTTGTTTTATTTAGTTTTATTTAATGTTCATTTAAAATCCATGTATGCTTCATTAAATGGATAATGTAGGTGGACCATTTAAGATCTTTAAGAGATGATTTCATGTATAGACGAGAAAGCTATTATTTTACTTATGGATGCAATTATAAATTCCAAACCTCTTTTCTCTCTTTTCTAGATTCAATCACTCAGCACAAGGTCTGTGCCTCTGAAAACTACCTACTGCTGCAATAAGAGAGACATCTGCATTTCTTCAGACAGCTCAAAGCTGGCTTTGGGCATTTAGGTGAAAAGCAATTGTGAAGAGAGGGAATGGACATGAAAAGGATGACAATATCACATGTCTGCCTTATGTGCGTTTTAGTTTTTATCTTAAAATTTCCTTTGTATAACTTTCTGATGATGACTGAATTTGTGTTTCAGAGAAGCATCGGCTGGCTCTCTCTGGGTCTTTTTTATATAGTGACTATTTTAGTTGTGATCATCGTTAAAAATTACAGAACCTTTGTCATTGAAGCAACGTACTGCCAAATAAAAACTGAAAATCCATTGAAATTGTTTTATTAACAATTTGAGAACAGCAAAGAACTTCCTGAGGTTATCTTAGATTGTAACAGATACTGGATATGACGGATGTGCATCAGCTATTAAGATTACTTTTAAGTATCTGAGATTCTTCTCAATGCAGTTAATGAAGGCAGGTGTGGGGAATGTGGGACAACCATAATTTGTGCCATCTGAGTGGCCCTGCCTCTCCAGTCTTAATGTATGGTGACCAGACCATCACCAACCAAGGGTCACAGCCTGCACTGGCCATGTTGACCTGGAGAAATTGTCAGCTGAAGCAGTCTGATGAGACAAGCCTGTAGGAGACCACAGGAGCAGAAGACAAAGCTGCCAGCAGCAAAACCTTTTGCAAGACACAGCTCAGCTCTTGTTTCAAAATGTCTTATCCAGAAGTCAAAGCGAGAGGCATCGATAGTAATGTGTAAAAGTGAAAGACATTTAAATGTTGCCTCTAATCCAATTCTCCTAGCCAAATAAAGTCGAGTACATTTAACCAAGAAAACCATGCAAAAAGGACAAAACTCCTCAGGATTCCCAAGGTAGCTCTGCGATGACTCTATACTCTGTACTGGGCCACAGAACTTGTTCATCCTAAGGCTGTCCCTGGAGTGAGTCACTTAGTTTCCAAATATGCATGTACTACCAGGTGGATTTGAGACTTCAAATGTCTCTAGCCCAAAGGGCCACACAGTGGCACAGTAGTAAAATTCTGTGCTCTTGAGACAATCCCATGTGAGAAGTTTCATATTTCATGTCTGGAAATCTTCCTGAGTATACTAAGCACATAGCCAACTACAGTCTCAATCTTGGTCCCAGGGGCTTACAACAACACACTAGGTACATGTGCATACATACCCCAACTCCTAACAGGATGGAGAAATGGAGGAAAAAAGATTGTGGTGTGTCCATGCCCCCTTGGGGAGTGCTTTTTCTTTCTCTTTCTGGCAAAAGCACATGTCCTCTGGCATAAATGAATGAATGAATGAATGAATGAATGAATGAATGAATGAAAGAAACAACAACAAACCTGAGGATTCTGTCTGCCTGTCTGTCTTTCTCTATTGGTATATATATATATATATATAAAAAAAAAAAGGACAAAAGGAATTTTTTTTAAATGTCTCAAGCCAAAATATCTGCCACCATGCCATTTTCCCCTTAAGTAATTTTATATGTAGATACATTCTATAGTTGGAGTTTATTGAACTGGGATAAAGTATCACTGGTACCTCTTCCCCATTTGCACTGTTGATTTCTAAGACTGTCAATTTTGGAGGACTTACATTTTTTTCTTAACAACTCTGGGATTCTGAAATGCAAATGAAGAAAATAATTTAGTGTATCAAAATAAATATAAAAGTTTGAAGCAAGGTATTCTACTCCTTTGCTCATCAGTAAATGGATACTAGCTAATTTGAAGACTTCAGACCAACAACAGTTTTGAAGGCAAATATGATGGAGAAAAACATCTAACACTCTCCAAGAATGAAGAGGCTGTGGTAAACTCATGCACATGAACACTGTTCTTAGATCCAGATGTGAACCTTTTTTAGGGGCCCTTATTCCGTCTCCTACATTTCCCCTTTATCTCTTCACACTCAATCCAAGACAGATGTTTTGATCACCCATTCTCAGTGACACCCAGCCTGAGACCTTCCACATGGCATTGTCTTCTCATATGCAGTTTCTTCAACTGTCAAAAGTCACAATAATACGAGTCCTGAGAGTTTAGAATGAAGGTCAAGGAAGATGATGCCATTCTGATGGAGCAAAGAAGAAAATGTATCTCGGTTTGCATTATTCAGTGAGTTGTGCCTACCCAAAACACATACTGAACAATTAAGTGATAGGAATTTCCAGTACAGATTAAGAAATGCATAGTTAGGCCTTATTCTGAACAACAGGGAAAGACTATAAAACATTTTTACTCATAGTTATTGCCTGTGTTCAGCAATTATTTAGCTTTATTGACCATGATATACAGTTGAAATGTGTCTATTTAAAAATTACCTGTGCTGGGATCAGCACATGGTGTAATGGTTACATCTCTACACTCTCACAAGGCTGACCGTGGTTCAAGTCCCAGGCCTGGTGGCTTGAAACTCATGTGGAGTGCATGTGTGTGTATGCCCAAAATCCCAAGAAGAGAATGAAGGAGAAAGGATTGTGACATGGTCATCCCCTCTAGCAGGGGGGTGGGGGTGATTTCTGGCTTTCTGTCTTTCCGAATCTGTCTTTCTCTCCATTGAGCATACATGCCCTATAGCAAAAATATCTCTCTTTAAAAAAAAAAATCTATGCTTCAGGCAATAATCCCAAAAATAAACAAGTAGGGCTATATCAAGCTAAAAACCTTCTGCGCAGCAAAGACAACAATAATTAGAGTGAAATGACAACCCTCAGAATGGTAAAAAAAAAAAAAAAAATTTGCAAACTAAACTTCAGATAAAGGACTGATAGAATATGTAGAGAATTCAAACGGCTTATCTACAAAAAAATGAACAATCCAATTTAAAAATGGGCAAAAGAGCTGAACAATTGTCCAAGGAAGACATATGAATGGTCAAAAAGCATATGAAAAATGATGATTTCGTATCATAAGAGAAATAAAAATTAAAATTACAATGCAATACCACTTAACCCCAGTCAGAATGGCTATGATAAAAAAAAGTAATAATAAATGACAAGTGCTGGCAAGGCTGTGGTGAAAAGGGAACCCTCCTACAGTGTTGGTGGGAATGTAAATTGCTATAGCTGCTGTAGAGAACAATAGGGAACTTCCTTGAAAACCTACCATATTACCCATGCCTGGGTATTTACCCAAAGGATAGGAAAAACACTTGCACATTGATGTTTATTGCAGCAATTATTCACAATTGCTAAGACATGGAATCAGCCTAAATGCCCATGAATGGATGACTGGATTGAAAAAGTATGGCACATGTACACTATGGAACACTACTAAGCCATAAAAACAATGAGATCCTATCATTTGTTAAAGTAGATAAATATAGAAGATCTAATACTAAGATAAGGAGGCTAGACTATGAAAGACAAACACTGTATATCTTTGCTCAATATATACTGGATGTCCATACTCTATGAAAGAGATTGAAAGATTTGAAGTTATAATAGTAGGCAGGGTGAGTGTAGATAAGTGAAGACTGTATAGGAAGGGGTGGATAGTAGAGGGTGGGAAAGAAGGGCTCAGGGAAAAAACATTTAGCAGACACAAGAATGTAATGTAATCTATCAAAAATGACATATATGGAAGTATCTTTGACTTGATTGGCATGACCACATGCATGCTTCATAAAACCACATTGCATAATGTAAAAATATATAATGATTAAATATAAGTTTAAAATTATTTGTGTTTGTAATTAAAGTGTTATATTCTCAGTTTTTAATTTCAATTTTTCTACTACTTTATTTTTATTTTTATGTTCCAGGAAGACAGTGTTGAATTTTATCCTTCTAAAAGTTGAACTGTTAACTAAGATAATAATTAAAATTATTGACCTGAAATGAAACAAGAACATACAAATATTCTTCAGGCTAAACTAATATTTTATTTGGTATGAGTTCTCTGTTTAGGCGTTAATATTTTCCCAAAGACCTGAGACCTTGCAAGGACTAAGCTCTACTTAGAACTCAAATAACCTGGCAGCAACTTGTCACTTTATTAATCTGGTTTCAATTTCTTAAATGTTTGGATTCACAGCTTATCTATGGGAACAAATAGTTGTTTCATTTTTTTATATTCCAGAGAGAAGATTTACTGAAAAAGTTAATTGTATCCCTCCTCCAAGCCAGAAACTGAGATTTCAGCCAAAGCTGAAGAAGAGAGGAAACATTAGGAGAAAAACCATCCTGGAGCTGGCCCAGCCATCTGTCTGTCAATAGAAAGACAAGGATGAGGTGCATTAACAGCAGCTCTATCAGCTCAAGGCTTCCATGGGGCCCAGAGAGATCAGGGAAGGAAGAGACTGCCAGACCTCAAATCTTGGCACATAGAGCCAGTTATCAGCCAGATAATGTACTCAGCCAATGACGTGAAACCCAATCGTGAAGTTATTGGGAACTGGACGGAGAAAAGAGAATGACTCCTTGCCCAAAGTGTGTAAAGCCGTGAATAGCAAGGGGCAGGACAAAAGCTGTGACTCATGATGCCACGAGTTTTGTTCCAAAAACAGAACTGGGGACACAGTGTAGGCATAGGGCCAACGGGCACAGTAAGAGGGAGCTCAACACTGACCTCATTTTCAAGGGGCGATGAAAGATTGTCACCTCATCTTGTGGAGGCAATCCTCCAACACAGTTAGAGACTTAACAGAGGAATTTGGTTATTTGGAACTCTTGGGCATTTTGCTTTTACTGAGCAATTGCCACCCCACCCATTTAAAATCTTTATAAGATTCAAGAACCACTTTATAATATCCTTTGAGCCCAAATTAGACTTCAATGCATAAAGTATCTGTGCTCAAACAGTTAAAAATCCCTTTCTGCATTGAAGGAGTAAAGAGATTTGGTAAGAACGATTCTATGGTCTTTAATTTTGATGGGCACAAATGAAGTTAGTCTGTGGCCAGAGGCAGAGGAATACTATTTTTAAGACATGGGAATCTTTTCCAGTGAGTGTTCTAGGAAAGAATTTTGCAGCTTCATTTTCTTGAAGGTCTCATCTCCACCTGTTCTTCCCTATCTTAGATTCACAGTGCTTGCTCTATTCTCCTTGTCAACATCACCCTCTAGGAAATATCTGAGATTGCTATAAACCAAACAGAAATAATCACAACACATAAGACATTTGTTGAGCACCTGTTCTGTGTCAATTATTGTCCCAGACTCCAAGGCCAGAAATAACTAAGGCAGAGCACCTGTACTCAGAGAGCTGATAGCCTTTATGAAAGTGAGGTTGGAAAACTAATGTGCAGAGTGATAAACTCTCCAAAGACCAGAGAAAGAGACAATTTTGAGAA